CTTTATCATCAAACTTCAGTATTGAAATGAAAATCGAACGTTGCGATGTTACAGATTCACCGTTTCTCATGTTTCTTACTCGTACAATGCCTCATGTTACGATGTGGGGAGATGATCGATGTCAGACGATTATTGACATAGTCACACTCGTAATCATTCCTTGATGAATCTTTTCTTCTTTGACAGATCTTTGCTCTATTAATAAATTCTAATGTGTAGTATATGACAAAAGAAAAAAAAGCGAAAGGCTGAACAAATAAATAGAATATCCTGATAATTCTTTGTCTATAACATCATAATATTCTTTCAACATGCAATCTTTGCTTGCTTTAGTGTCACATTCGAATGAAAAGTAGTCAGTTCATTTGAAGCTTGTAGATCATAAAATCTAGAGAAATGAAATAAAACACTTTATATCAGAAAAGTTGAGCAAAATGTACTATAATTCAATTTTGAAACAGTGCCATTGATCATCATCTACAACGCTGTCAGACATGGGCCAATTTCTGGCAGCCATATCTGAGTTTGCTAAATTTCAGAAAAAAATCGTTATTCTTCCACACTAGAAGGTCTATTTCCTCTAAGTTTGGTCTGTTTCATAATGTATTTTGTATGTGGGGTGTGAGTGTAGACATGAATCTTACTTGCATCCACATCTCACTCACACTCTCAAGATGAATGCAACCGATTATGACACAGGCTGTTGTGTTCATAATCATCATTATGAATGGTATGATCAAGCAAAAGGAAGAACTTGGTGCATGCCAGCCATTTATAACAAGTAAGAGCGCGATTCAATCATAAACTTTCAAGTGAAAGACTCGTTTTCATCTCATTCTTATGATGTTTATTTCTTTTGTTTATTCTTGAAAATAAATCAAATCAAAAGCAATAAAATCGATTCTTTAGCACATAGTAACGACAACTATATAATTCACCATTTGACTGCTGCTATAAGCACACGATAAGTCCCTGGATGCGATTATTCTCTCTATTGCGGACAATTGAATTAGCTTTTGCTTCATGTCAATTCAATACTCTACTTAACAGAAAAATACCCTTCAACATGCTTTGAGAGGTTCATCCATGCTAAACGGGGTGTGGGTATGAGCGTAGCTAAAGAGAACGTCAACATCCATACCCAAACTCTCACTTACATCAGCACCTACACTCACACCCTAAAGGTCCTAGCAGCTCTCAAGTCTTTCTTGGGCCTATGCTATAACTATCAAACTCTTTTTGGCGAAAGTATTTTTCATCAAATTGAATTTCTAATCAGCCTATTATATATTATTATTATTAGACACAATATTCCCAGGAATACTTTTTTTCAGACGTTTCAACATTAAGTTCCAAATGCTAAGATGTATTAGAAAGCAGGAAAAGACTATATATATATATATGCAAAAATACTTTACAAGGTTTATCTTTTTCACGTAAAGAAAGAATTACGATATAGTTTTTCTTATGCGTTACACTACATAATCAATTTCAACTTTCTACTTGTCTTAGGAATGTATCTACATTGTATGAAAGTTTATATCGTAGGAAATTAGCTTGCATGTGCGCATATCATAATTGATTCCAGTGAAAATTGATATTACCTCTACTATCCTAGTGAAATATATCAATTTTCTATTTGTCCCAAAATATTGAAATACATTATGCAGTTTGTCTACGTGTTGTTCATCAGAACTGTCATGTTCACTCATTCTGTGAATTAACAATATAGATAGTTCATCATCTATAGAATAATTATAGAGTACCCCTCCCCCGCATGCTTTCTATTATTCTATAGCTCATAGATGATACTCATATATAATTACTCTATATAGTCTTTTTCAGCTTTCTAATACATCTTAGCATTGGGAACTTAATGTTGAAACGTCTAGAAAAAAGTATTCCTGGGGATATTATGTCTAATAATAATAATAATATTAATATATGATAGATTGATTAGAAATTCAATTTTATGAAAAATATCCTCACCAAAAGGAGTTTAATAATTATGACATAGGACCAAGAAAGGCTTAAGGGGTGCTATGGTCCTGATATTCGACATCGGTGCAAAAAGCTGCATACAGTCACGTATATTTCAATGAAAAAGTGATCGATCAATCATATAATGTAAAAAATAATGTAAATACTCAAAAATTCTCTTCATTACGTTACAACTTTTGCTAATTCTAATACGAAAATCAATCTAAACAATATGAAGTGTTCGAATCCAGCTATCTTTCTGATTTTCTTTTGTTTTACTGATGAGTCTATACAGTACGAATAGACAAAATGGACTAGTCTATATTTAGTCTAAACGGCGTTTCTCCTTATGATAACCAGTCCTGATGAATTGCAATTCATTTTGGACTAGACCATAGAAATATTTACATTGATTATTTATTCGTTTGATAACTTGTATGCAACTAGATGCTCTGGCCTCATCACCGATGAAAGCTGCCTATTCATTCTTTTCTATCTTGTCACCTTTATCTTCCTCGTATATAAGCTCGTATTCTATGTGAAATATACAGTATTCATCCATTTTCATCCTTATACAATTAAATTCTAATAATCTACTATTTATATTTCTAGATTTTCAATGATCAACAACGAAACAATACAAAATAATTTTTCAGATATTTCAACAAATTCAACATCAACACAAATGATGATTGAAACTCATTCACAATTGTCGAATAAAGATGATATGGAACCAATGTTCGTACATGTTGATACATCAATTAAATCAGTACCCAAACATCCTGTACAATTTACATCTGAAAATTTACGTACACATCTTGAACCAATTATTCTCAAAATGATCGCTTGGGAATATTCATATCTATTTCAACAACCAATTAACCATGTTTCACTTGTAATACTTGATTATCCAAAAATAATTAAACATGCAATGGATATATCAACCATACATAATAAATTATTACATGGAGAATATAAAAATCCATTAGAATTCTGTGATGATATATGGCTTATGTTTAATAATGCACAACTTTATAATAAAAATAGCACACTTATCAATAAAATGTGTACAAAACTTGCAGAATTATTTGTTGAATATATTGATCCTGTTATGCAAACATTAGGATATTGTTGTGGTCGTCAATATGAATATTTACCACAAGTTATGTTATGTGATGGACAACAACAACAATATTGTCAAATCGAACTCAATGATAATTATTATTATTATAACAATCTAGACCCATCACGATTAAATTTATCCTATGATAAATATATATATTGTGTAAAATGCTTTAATTCAATTAAAAATGATTCAATATTTGTCGGTGATGATCCAACTCAAACATTAGTTGAAATACCAAAATCATTATTTTTATCAGCTAAAAATGATATAAAAAAACCTGAACAAATGATTGATTGTATTATTTGTACACGTCGTTGGCATCAAGTATGTGGATTACATTTAGATGAAATATGGTCGGAAGGTTTTATATGTAAAACATGTATACATGAATATAATATAAAACGTAAAGAAAATCCTTATATAGCATCAAAATTACCAATAAATGATTTAGCATCAAGATTAGAACAACGTGTGAATAATTTTTTACGTAATAAAAATTGTCAAACAGGTCATGTAACAATTCGAATATTATCTGCAAGTGATAAAATATGTGAAATAAAACCACAATTAAAAAAATATTATTCAAATCAACTAGTAAATAATTATCCATATCGAAATAAAACTATATTTGCTTTTCAAGAAATCGACAATGTTGATATTGTTTTCTTTGGTATGTATGTACAAGAATATGATGAACATTGTCCAGAACCAAATAAACGTCGTATTTATATAACATATTTTGATACAGTACATTTTTTTCAACCAAAAATTTATCGTACAGATATTTATCATGAAATTTTAATTGGTTATTTGGATTATGTTAAACAACATGGATATATGTATGCTCATATGTGGGCTTGTCCAGCAAGTAAAGATTTTGATTATATATTTCATTGTCATCCATCCGAACAACATATACTAAAGCCAAAACATTTGCAAGATTGGTGTAAAAAGATGTTGGATAAAGCTATTGTCGAACGTATTGTTATTAATTATAAGGTAAAAAAAATATATATAACTGTTATATATATATGAATTATTTATTAATTGAATTTTAATAGTCAATCACGTAGTAACTAGTTGATATTTTATTTTAATATTATTTAGGATATTGTGCAAGATTGTTTGGATAATCAAGTACAAACAGTTCTTGACATTCCATATTTCGATCATGATTTTTGGCCGTTTATGATTGAAGACAATATTGAAAGTATGTTTTTAGTATTGATAATAAAAATCGAATTTTATCTGTTTTTTTTTTTTTTAAAGAACTTAATCAAGAAGAAGAAGATCGAAGAAAACAAGATGTTGAAGGAGAACAACCTATGATAGATGAAGAAAAAGTTAGTAGAAATTGTATACAATAGTCACTATTTAAATCTTAATTTTATCTACAATATGAATATTTGATTTTTATTTTAATTTAGATTTCTGATAAATGTAAATCTGAAAAAACAATTTCGAATAACACACCAAATCAAATATCAAATTCTACTGATTTACTATCTTTAATTTTTTCAAATATGGAAAAATACAAAGAGGTAAGTTATGTAGGAAAAAAAGAACACAAATTGTCAAAAGTGATTTTTGTTCATTTTGATTTAATCTAATATAAGACTTTTTAACTTTCGACATACGTTAACTATAATTCTATAAGACTTACTAAACCGATCTTGATCACACTCTTTTTTCCAAACACTTATACTTACAAACTACATCTATATCTTTCTTTAGACATTCTTTGTTATTCGTCTTCATGATCAAATAACATCCTATGTAACAGTCAATGATATTAATGATCTCATTGAATGTGATTTAATGGATACGACAAATGCATTTTTAAGTTTTACTTCTAATAAAAATTATGAATTTTCTTCATTACGTCGTGCAAAATTTTCTACTATGGCTGTACTATATGAATTATATACATCAACAACAGATAAATGTACATATAGTTGTAATAAATGTCGACAACAATGTGATATACGTTATCATTGTACAGTATGTGAAGATTTTGATCTATGTGAAAAATGTTATAATATTCAACCAAATCATGAACATAAAATGGATAAATATAATGAATTAAATATTATTGATAAATCTAGCATTATCACATATTGTTAAGTATCGTATGGATGATGGTGTTAATCGTAGTTATTTTCATTCTAAACGTATTATACAATATGCAAAAGATTATAAAGAAAAAAATCCTCAACATGAGATCAATGATTTGTTCTATAAAATTTTGTTTCTAAATAAAATTTCATTTATTCTATATTGATTATATTTATGTAAACTTAATTTTGCTAATTAAAGAAATAAAAA